TAGTTGGTTGACTCTGTTGTTGCATTTAGGCTTGTGCGTTTAAGCACTGTTGGATTCAGTGCTTGCTTGGGGTAGTTGTTATATGATAATGAGTCTAAATGCAGAACATGGTGGGGAACACATGGGGAGGAGAGAGTGAAAGAGAAAGAGAAGTATACCCTCAAGGGTATCCCCCCACTAGGACCACTTCTTAAAATGTTTCTGCCACCTCCCAAACCCATCATGGATGAATCATGCTATAATCATTATAATCCAGCTACCTCCCAAAGGCCCCACCTCTGAATAGTACTGTACTGGGGACTAAGCTTTCAACACATGAACTTTTGGGGCTCATTTCAGGTCTAAATCATAACACTTGTTCACCACTTCCAGGTCTTTATTTTCAATGAAGTTTTCTCTGGTTCTCTAACTAAAAGTTCAATCTCTGTTCTTGATATTTTATACTGTCTTTGGGGCTTAACTTTTACTCTTTAACACTTTGCATTATGTAATATACTACATATTTAATTTATTTTTATTTTTTAAACTCTTGTCTTCCCCATGAGGATTTAAACTCCATGAGGATAGGACTTCCTGTCCATTTTGGGTATAGCCAGTGCATAGTAAACATGCAATATATGCTTGTTTCATAGAATGAATGAAAGGATTCAGTGATTTTCAGGTATGCAGTTATTAACACATATGATTTTTTTTGTGGAATTTTTTTGTGCTTAGAGAAGGGCACTGGGATCAGTGGTATAAATGAATTCTAATTACATACCGACCTTCTTTTAAATTGTTTCCAAAGGCAAGGTGCTGTTGCTCTGAAGTTACTTACACCAAAAATTCCTTGTAAAATTTTATGAAGATCTGATTATAGTTATTGTTTCTTTTAATTACTTGATTCTATTTCATTCTTACTTTTCTGTACAGTGAATTTTCTCATCTGTTGTACCTGTTGGAACACACCTGGAAAGATGTTCATTTTGCAGATCATGTGTGAGCTAAATGTTCTTCCATTAGCATTGCAGATCACTAACATCACTGGGAACATTATGGTAAATTTAACTTAGAAAGGGGGAAAAAGCATTTCCTGTTGGATTCAGTGCTTGCTTGGGGTAGTTGTTATATGATAATGAGTCTAAATGCATGCTTATAAAATGAGTAACTTGGATTCTGAAAGCTGGGCAACTTTTGTAAAAGGAAAAACTGGTTGGGAGAAGGGGAGGAATGCCAGGTGCAGTGTGCTGAAATTTGGGTGAACATA